GGGGGGGGGCGGCGGGGCCGCCGGCTGCGGGCGGTGGCGGCGGCGGCGGCGGCGGCTGAAGGGCAGCGGCGGCGATGGGCGCTGCGGGGTGAGTGACCGGGCGGCGGGGGGAGCGGGGATCGGGGGAGCCCGACGGCTCCTGGGGGCGGCGATGGGGCGGGAGATCCTGTGGTGGGGGGCGCTGGGGGGGCGATACTGGGGCACTGGGGGGCAGTACTGGGGCACTGGCGGCAGTACCGGGGCACTGGGGGCACTACCGGGAGCACAGGGAGTCAGTACTGGGAGCACTGGGGGGCGATATTTGGGCGCTGGGGGCAGTACTGGGAGCTCTGCGGGGCAGTTTTTGGGCAGTGGGGGGCAAGAGTTGAAGCTCTGGGGCAGGAGGTGTAGTGATGGGGTGCACCGGGGAAGCAATGCTGGGGGCACTGGAGGGCTGTGAGGGGGCCGGGGGGCAGTACTGGGGGCACTGGGAGCTCTGGGGTGCAGTACTGGGGGCGCTGGGGGGCAGGAGGGCAGTATTGGGGGGGCCAGAGGGGCAATGGGACAGTACTGGGGGAGACGGAGGTGAAGCCTTGGGGGCACCGGGGCAGGAGATGCAGCACTGGGGGGTACTGGGAGGGCTCTCAGGGTGCTGGAGGGAGGCAGGAGGGCAGTGCTGGGGGGGATCCCAGTGCCCTGGGGAGGAAAAGCAGAGGGGGGTGATGGAGGGGAAACGCAGTGACATGGGCATGGATCCTGCAGTGGGGAGCAGGAGGCAGAGGGGGGTGAGTGCCCCCCAAAACAGGAGCACCATAACCCACCCCCGTGGGGTAGCTGGAGGGTCTCTAGTGCCACAGGGGCAGGACAGGGGAGCTGGGGGGGCTGCAGGGCAGGGAGAGCTGCCGGGAGCCGGAGTGCCGCTGGAATTAGGGCTCCCTGCTCCGGGGGAGGATGTTGGAGCCGGAGCACGGGAGGGGAAGAGTGTCTGGGATCGTTTCGCTGCGATGCTGCGTGCTGTGGCAGCCGAGAGGGATGCAGGAGCCTTTGTAGGGAGAGCAGCGCTGAACGGAGCCGCTGCCGAGGAGCCAAGCAGGCCCCTGGTGCTGATGTTGTCATCTATGTCTCTGTTGTGTATTATTTCCAGCTGATTGGTAAAGATGGAAAGAGGGAGAGGAGGAGGAGGAGGAGGAGGAAGGAACCTGGGAGGCTCTGGCCTGCACAGGAGCATTTATTCCCAGTCCCAACAGCAGTACCACTACCCTGCCTCCTCCCAGGGGAGCTGCATGGAGATCCAGGAGCTGGCCTCCAAGAGGGTGGACATCCAGAAGAAGCGGTTTTACCTGGATGTGAAACAGAGCTCCCGCGGCCGCTTTCTGAAGATCGCCGAGGTCTGGATAGGAAGAGGCCGGCAGGACAACATCAGGAAAAGCAAGCTGACCCTCTCCCTGTCCGTGGCTGCCGAGCTGAAGGACTGCCTGGGGGACTTCATCGAGCACTACGCCCACCTGGGCCTGAAGGGTGGCCACCGGGCGCACGAGCACAGCAATGACAAGGAGCAGCATCCCCGGAGGCGGCAGCAGCACCCGCCGCCCTCGCCCCCGGTGTCCGTGGGCTCCGAAGAGCCCCCTCACAGCGTCCTCAAAACGGAGTACATCGAGAGGGACAACAGGAAGTACTACCTGGACCTGAAGGAGAACCAGCGCGGGCGCTTCTTGCGGATTAGGCAAACCATGAGCAGGGGACCTGGCATGATGGGCTACTTTGGCCACAGCTTGGGACAGGAGCAGACGATCGTCCTCCCGGCGCAGGGGATGATCGAGTTCAGGGATGCTTTGGTCCAGCTGATTGAAGAGTACGGCGAGGGGGACATAGAGGACCGCCGGGGGGGAGGCGACGAGCCCCCGGAGCTCCCCGAGGGCACCTCCTTCCGAGTGGACAACAAGCGCTTCTACTTCGACGTGGGATCCAACAGGTACGGCATTTTCCTGAAGGTAAGTGAGGTGAGGCCGCCCTACCGTAACACCATCACAGTTCCCTACAAAGCGTGGACACGGTTCGGGGAAAATTTTATCAAGTACGAAGAAGAGATGAGGAGAATTTACAACAGCCATAAAGAAAAAAGAATGGATGCCAGAGGGGACAGTGGTGAAGAGCAAGAGGGTCTGGAATAGAGTGCATTGGACAATTAACGAAACAAAACAAGCAGAAATTGGTGAGAGGGACTGACCTATAGTAATTCCAAGTTGCCCCAAGTTTTTTGTAAAGTCCTTTTCTGGGAGTTCTTGCTAACTCCAGTACGTAATGTTATAGGAGTCTGGTTATCACGTTAAATTACACCCAAAACATCTCCGTATGTCTTAGGAAAGGACCAACCTCCCGAGTCCGTATGAGTCAGCTGCTTCGAGTGTTGAAGACTATGAAAGTTCGCGTATCAGCACAAACAAAATCCGGCACTCTGACCTTTAAATAGTCTAGATAAGGCTTGTGTTGCACTTAAACATGATACAGAAGTACCCCCACCCCAAACCTTAAGATGAAACATATCACTTTCTGCTTATCACGGGTTTTCCTGGACTGGCTTCTGCCCGTACTCGGTCCAAAGGCTGAGCAGTGCCACTGTAGGGCATTCACGGCCAAAATCAAATCCACATGAGTTGCTGGTCTGTGTGAGGAGGGGAGAGAGGTTTTAAAATCGGCATCTGCTGGTTATTGGGTGGGAAACAACAGTCTGTGTGGGTAAAACCTTGATAACCAGTCAGACCTTGGTCACGTGCTGATGAAGGGCAGAAGATTTGTTACTCATTCCGTAGTTTTGTGCTGACTGGATAACCTGAGTCTCCCGGGATAGCAGAGCTCTGCTCGAGTGCTAAGCCTTCTGAATTAGTGGCAATGAATAATAACCCACTCCTCATCTCCGTGTTCTGCCCATGTGAGGCTGGCAATTTTTTTTATTATTATTATTTTTAATGCATTTTGTCCAAAATTTCAGAAGGTATTTTTGTACGAGGTGTGTTACGGATTCCAGCAGGCGACTATGGAGCGGGCATGGGGAGGTGGAGGGAACGCTTCTCTCCCAAGCGTGAGATTAATGCGGTCATGATGTTACCTGTGCCAGGAAAACACCCTGGCCGTGAGAAAGACCTTTTTGGGGGGTTTGGTGCACCATTGCATTCATAGGCAAAGGCATCTCTGTCATGCTCGCCCGTGGCGTGTTTCGGAAGCCGTGGTGGGCGCCGTGTCGGGTTTTCTGTCGTGTTGATTTTCCAGGTGTTGTCGTTAGGAGGTGATATCCATGCCCTGCCATCACCCCCCTTTCCCACCCGCTCGGAGCTGGAGCTGTCACTGAGCAGTTCCAGTCCAGTGTCGGTGTCACCCCGCTGGAGCCTTTGTGACGTCAAGTTTTGCATCTCACGATATCAACTCTCTGCCTGGAGGGAAAATGGGTGCAATTACCCAGCTGGGAGGTTGATGAAAGATTTTGTTGTTTCTTAAAACGTGAATAATTTATAATGTAAGGGGCTTATCCACCATTTGGGTGACCAGCTCCTTCCCCTGGAACCAGCGGGAGTTTGACTGAGCTCCAGGTACTTCCAGTAGCGTGCTGCTCACCTTTAAGCTTGTTTGAAATAGGCATTTCCATGTCTAATGAGAAATTTGTAATCATTCAGATCATTTAATTACAGAGTGGCCGAGTGTGCACGTGGGACCAGCTATTTTTCCATGCAACCATTACATGTTTTATTTTTTAATCTTTTGAGAAACATATTTATTTCCAACCAGACCATTCACCGCTCCGAGTCTGGACCCACCTGCACGACCACACTCAATCCAAATGCTGTTGCCTGTTAACGTCATAATGAGAAAGGTTGGGGAGGCAGGGTTGGGAACCAAGAGGATAATCTGGACTTTAGTTTGGGTACTAAAACTGGTTGATCTGTTTTAACTTAGAAAAAAAAATTTAAAAAAAGAAAAAAAATAAAAGCTTGCACCAAAGTCACCAAAGAACCTTTAGGAAAATGTTACGGTTGTGACAAGTAAGAAAGTTAATTTCACTGTTTTAGGTGATTCCCCCTTTAAAACCACATATAGCAGTTACAGCAACCAAGCCTTTGGCTTAGTGTCAAAAACTCCCATCCCTTTCTCCATAGATTGCTCTCTCAGGTCCTTTTTCAAACCTGGAGGACATGTTTTCGCTCCATCACTTGAACCGCCCGCGGACCATGATGAATCAGCAGGAGTTGTACAGGGTGCTGGTTCATCATCGCTCTCATGGCTTTGGTCCTAATGGTTTTAACAGGTCAATTAAAAAAAAAAAACAACAAAAACCACAAAACCCAACATTAAAATAACTCTACATCCTGTCATTAGTGTGAAACCAGAATTTAGTGAATGAGTTGTTAGCATATCGCTGACTGCTGCTGCCCGTCACAGTGCCTGAGGTAAAAAATTCCCTTCTAGTCCAACAAGCCGGAGCTATGAATGTACAAACTTTTTACGCTCTCCTTCCCGTTTCTATGTGACTCAACATCTCCCCATCCCTGCCTACCTTTGCCTCAAGGGATCGTAAAAGCTCCTGCGTTGGAATTAGCCCGAGTGACCACGTGTGTTGTAAGTGATCATGCCTTCCCTGTGTTCCTGTAGTGTTGGTGAGGAAATTACTCGTCATTGGAAAGGGATGTTTTCTTCACCGTTTTAAAAGGAAAAAAGGATGCAAAATGGCTTTCCTTATAGCTGCACATTTTTTAAAAAAACCCTTTATCTTTTGTTGATTAATTGGCCTTCCGATGTCATTAGATTGTTATAAATACCACCCAGGAATCCAGCGTCTGCTGGCTGCCGGGCTGGGCTCGGTTCTGGCACGCAGGTATCCCGTAGGATCCGCTAATGCATTTACTCCCCTGGCATGGGGTGCACCTTAGTATCTAAACCTGGATCAGGATCTTCATGTTCGCTGCCAATCACCCCTGGGCAGACCAGTAGCTACAGGTTTCCACCACGATGGAGAGAACTGGTGTTTGCAGATGTTGGATTGGAAAGTAATGGATTTCCACATGATAGGAAGCACCAGTGTTTGGGTTGGAGGGTAATATGGATGCGCTCTAAGTGCAGCAATGCAAGTCTTGAACGGTGAGATTCGGAAACGGGTTCCTTTGTGTTTTTGGCAGCGCGTCTCCAGCTTCCGAGCGCGGTGACAGCACGGGCTGCTGGTGTGCAGCGAGATGCTCGGGAGCACCAGATCCCTGATGCGTTTTAAATGTTCATTCCCAACACCCTGAAACTGCCATGTCCCTTAAACTTGAGAAAACACAAGCTTATTTGCACTAGAAAGAACGGCCAAAAACAATCCTTAGGAGGACAGGGTGAAGAGCACCGGTCTGAACCTCTTTTTCTCATGAGAGAATTTCCTATTCGAGCCCTCACCTCTGTTTCAAAATTGTATGGTCCCGGCAGAAAGTCTGTCAGTTGAATGATTAAATCCTAATGCACTTTATATTGTGTAAATAATATTAGGAGCACATTTCTGCTCCCGCTCTGGTAAGGGGATGCTTTGATAACGTAGTCTAATGCTGAGAGAAGCTGTCTCCTGCATGCATGTGTCTGTTAGAGACCTGTTGCACCTGCTCGGTCCGGCTCCGCTCGTATGTTAGAGGAGGACAGGCACTGTATTGAGGATCCTCTCAAGCCACCCCGGGTGGGATGATTTGGTTTTTTAAGTTGCAACGTGCAGAGCTGCTGAGCATCCTCAGCTCTGCCGTCGTGGTGGCTCCTCGCCCCTTCTGCAGATCGGGCTTTTCACATGTAGTCTTGACAAAGCCAAGTCCAGCATCTCCCTCGTTCTTGGCTTTCCCCGCTGCTGGCGCAGAAGGTGGGGCGGTCCCTAAAAAGCTTGTCCCGGGTGGAAGGGGCCGCGGGGGCTTTCCCTTGCCTTTCAGCTGGGGGGATGTTGTGTTGAGTCCGGCCCGTCGAGCCGGCTTCCTTGGGAAAGTACAGAGCTATGGAAGGGTTGGGAAGTGTTTTGCACTGGTGTGGCGAGGGCGGCCCGCCGGGCGCTCCGAGGGGACGGCAGACCCCACCCTCGGGGGCTCCTGGCGTGGAACCTGGACGATGGACTTTACCCAGCGAGGAGCTGCAGCGGTTATTGGTATCTACTCGTCGTCGTAAGTGTTTCTTATCTGTATCCGATATATACCAATCCATATTCACATATAGGCATTACTATATTTATGTGACTATATTGTAGCCTGTAGTAGCTCGTAGCAAAATAATCTTATTTATCTGAAGTGTGCAGTCTGAGGAGGGGACGTCTGCTCCTGCCACCGGTCAGGAGAAACGTGTTAGTTCACCCAGAGCTGGTTGGGAGCTCTTGATCGTGGCCCTTGTGAGCATGCCTTAGGTTTTCAGCAAGGCTGAAAGGGAAAACATAGTCAAAAGGAGGCAAAACTTTTCCTTGGAGGCATCATTGAGGCGAGGTGAGAGCTGTACGGAAGAGGCAGCTGCAGGTACTCCTGGCCACGTTGTGTTTCCATGCCATTTTACAAGCCCTGGCTCTGCAAATCTGTACTACCATGTTCATAAAATCCCAAGCAGAAGTATTAAAATCCCATCCTTTATACAAAAAAACCCCCAAGCAATTACCAAAATCAATGTCAGCACATTTGTTTTTTCAGCTACAGATGTCATAGTCTGGTAATTGCATCATTTTTTTTTTCCCTTTGGCCTATTGCAGTGCCCTAAACTCCCAGGGAAGGGAGTTGGTGGTGGTTAGGAAGCCTAGTGCTTGCGTGACTTGCAGTCCTGTTATCCAATCCTAGTAATTTTTATAGCAGAAAAAGGTTTATCGTTGTGTATTTTTATTGGGCAGATTTTGCACCAGGTCAAAAATTACTTAATGAGTGATTTCAGTTCCATGGCATTCCCACTTTTGCTGTACATACAGTAGATATATACAGTTTATGAAAGAGTTCCTAAAGAGAATTAGACCTCCTGTTTAATTTTCTATGCTGCTTCCTCCAAAATTAAATTGCCCTTTATTTTCAATTACTTAACATGTTGTGATGTTTAAAATTCACCTTTCCCCTCCTACCCCTCCATTCCTTTCAAGTAAAGGTTGTGTTTGAAATGAAGAGTTTATTCAAGTGAGAACGGAATTAAAGGCTACACCATAAGCTATACTGAGGCTGTCACCTCAGAGCCTTTGCCAAAATGGGTTGTTTTGGGGTGATCCAGTCTTGCCTAAAAATGGCTGAATTCTGTCATGACCACAGGAAAAAAGCCCCGGCTAGGGGACAAGGTGCTTCTGGACTCGAGTGATTTGGAAAAAGCTAAAGCCAGATCTTTTGCTGCTCTGTTTCTCCAAAACCTGCAGATGGGCTGACTCCATTTTTTCCTTCCTAATATTTTGTCCGCCCATGTTCAGTTCCCCACCTGCACCTCCATAAAGGCAACACTGTTCTAAAGCATCGAGGTGAAATAAAATACCAAGAACTCCTGATAGATGACATGGATTGAAAATTGGTTTTCCTGAAATGTCAGGGCATAAATTGAGGTTTTATAAGCCGGATGTCGTTTTGGCATTTCTGTGATGGATGTAATTAGATCGTTCCTTCCACATGCCGAGGGAGGCATCACGCGGAACCTGAACCTGCAGCCCCAGGGCTCTCTCACGTACATGATCTTCTAGAAAGGTGTAGGTACCTGCTGGTGTTCTTGTGTTGAGTGTGGTTGTGCTCATACTGGCCTAGCCTCGAGGGGCCTGGCTGCCACCCCAATAAAACCATCATTAACGACTTGCTAATTCATCTTCTTAATTGCTAGGCTACCTCAAAAGGCTTGGAGTGGCACGTGGAAAATTGCTAACTCTGTACAGAGTAGCCACCGTAAATTAGAAAAGATATATTACATCTTCTAGGTGTTCCAGACCCATCCTACATACTAGTATTCAGCAGGGTGAGATAATGGCTCCTGCCTTGGCCATTCAGGCAGTCAGATGGATTTCCGAGGCACGGTGGGGGAAATCCATCCTGAAGGCAGAAGTTTGCGTCTGTTCCTTCATCGCTGGTCGTTTGCCGCGCGGAGATTAATTGGAGGCAAAGATCACCCTCGGTGCTGGGTGCTGGCAGCCGGCTGAAGCCGGGAGGCTCCGTGCCTGGCCCCACTCAGCACTGCACTGACAGGACACCTCTGAGTTCCTGTGTGGGCACAAATTAACGTGGAGGCAAGGGAGAGAGGAATATTACATACATATATATGCACAGTCATTTTTCCCCTGTTTCCGGTAGGTCCTTCTATTTGAGACGTTAAAATGTTATCTGTTGTCTTTGCTGTTTCCCATGTCGGGGATGTTCAACGTGCAATAGGAGCAGGGAGGTGGATTTCCCAAGCAATAGCAGCCTACTCTACTACTACCCTTAAATCTTTACACTGCAAATCGTGTGCAATAGAATCTGCATTTCAAAACAGCAGAGAGTATGTGGGATAAAAGACACGGGTTAACCCCAGGCTCTTACAAGTATTCCCATCTGGTCCTTGTTCGGAGCACATGTTGTTGGCACAATGCTGAGGGAGAGGGGGAGTAAGAGCTTCCCACCGAGGTAGAGGAACGAAAAGGCAGGAGGGGGTGGAAGGAAGCGAGGACAAGATCCGTGCTCCAGGGAATCACAGAGCATGACGAGCTTTATCTGTAGTAGGAGGAACAGGCGGCACCGTCAGCGCTGGAGTTCCGTGGAGCTGGGGAAGGAGGCAGAGAGCCTGGATGCTCCACTCGGGGACCAGGGTGGTTGTCTTGGGCCGGTTCTCCTTCCTCTTTGGGAACAGTAACATGCTCTGCAAGTGTCTTATCTTGCCAACAAACCCATCAGGGCTAAGCGTGTCCAATGGATGGAGTGTCTGCTTTTCCAGCTTGCTTTTTAGGACTCGAGTGGCTTGGCTCTTACCGAGCTGGGAGGCTTGCCCAGGAATACCTGCGGAGGCTTAGGGGAGCACACAAGTGTTGGTGACCTCTAAGGTTTGCTCATGCCATCCCAATTTATGGATGCTCTTGTGTGCTTTTCACCCGGGAGCCACCTGAGTGATGGAGTGTTGTGTTATCAATGGGGCAGCTGCTCTTTTCCATTGCAAAGGAAAGGTGTTGGTGAAGGCTGGAGGGGATCAGAGGGAAAGAAAGCAGCTTTCAAGAAGCAATTTCTGTGTGCCTGTCTTTGCAAAAGGGTTGTGTCGTTTCTAACAAGACTCTGCAGATGATCACCACTTGTATTGCCTTTGTTTTCCTGAGCCCCGCTCGGTGTTAACAGCTGTTGAAAGCTGTGCTTTGAACCAGTGAAGTGCTGGAATAATTGCGAGGACTCTGGAAAAGCTGTCAGTGTCTCAAGCTGGGCCTCCTGATAATGGAGACGGGATCACTTTGGCTTTATCCTGCCTGTGCCTATGTTCCCCACCGCTAAAATGGGGTGAATGATACCTCCCTACCTCAAAGGGGTGTGCGAAAGAGGAGTTTGTTTGGCATCAGAGTTTTTGTGGTGATCTTATACTGATCAATACTGATGATCACCAAGAGCAGAAAAGGGAGAAATTTGTTGTGAAATGGAGTGTTTGGAAGGTTTGGAACATACCTGACTCCAAACTTGAATTTGCAAGGGTGCCTCTAAATGGTCCATTTCAGGGCCCGGACAGCAAAAAGCATTCTTATTTTTCCCAAGTTGAACAACCTGGCAAAAATCTGCTCTTTCAAATCTCCCACGGTGGATATTCCCAACCTCCCTCCCCAAGCTGTTTCCCCCTGCTTCTTCTCAGATATTTTTCATGCTGTCCAGTCCATGTGTCCCTTCCTGCCATCTAATTCTGTTGCTTTTTGCCTTACAGGCCATGCTCTCCAGAGGAGATACGGAAACAGTTTATTTTCTTCCCTGCTGCAGCTTTTACACATAATTAAAGGCTGTTGTCAGGTCTCTTCTGCACCCTTTCCTAAGGAAATACAAAGCCTTCCACCAAGAGTAATTTTTAGCCCTCATCATGTACTTGTTGCTTTCTGATGAGTCCGTTTAAACACAAATGGAAGGAAAGCATCAAGCAACAATATAAGCTCCCCGTGCCAACATGTTTGGAAATACAGGTTTTCCTTTGTGTTCCTAACTCTCCAAGGATTGTGTGTTCTTATTATATGAATAGTCATAGAAATATTTGCATGAACTTCTCCTTACTAGCATTTTTATTGCAAGGAGATCTGAGAGTTTTGTGTAGGTCTAACTGGAGAGAATTTCCTCCAGGTTCTCACTCTGCTCTGCCTCCACTCAACACGTATATCCCAGCGCCTTCCAGAAGGGCATTTAAGCATATGACCAACATCTGTCAAGCAGCTACTCCTTCCCTCCTCTTCCTGGGGAAAAGACTGAATGTGCCAACTCAGCCCTGGTATTTTTAACATAAATTAATTATCCCTGCTGTTCCATGTTAGCAGTGTAAAGGGTGAGCTGGAGCACGCTGTGTGCTGGCAGCAGCGCACCCCAGCAGCTTCACAGCATGAGAGCAAACCAGAGGGCTCACAGAGAGCAAAGCCTGGCTTTGGCATGGCTCCCACCACTTCCCTCAGCAACTGGTGTTGAACAGGAGCTGTTTTGTCTCTTCAAGTTCCCCTCGGACCTGTTGCTGCTTTGCAAATTGTCATTTTTGCTTGGAGCACGGAGCATGTGCTGCTGCCTGGTTGGAAAGTACCCGATATTAAAAGGAGAGTCTCTCCTCCGGGAAGCTGGCAGGGGGAATCTAAGGCCAGAGACCTTCTGTGCAGGCAGAGAGGTGATGGAGCAGTGCTCTGGGGTAAATGAAACTCAGTGTGCAGCCAACAGATGTATTTCTGTTTGGGTTGCCTCCACGATAGCTGCTTTTTTTTCCTTCCAGATGTTTGAACGCTCCCAAGATCTCCATAGTGCTGCCTAGGACAGATATTTGCAAGGGAACTGAGCTGCCTCCAAGGACACTCTCTTTGCTGAGACTCCAGTGAACACAGCAAAGTGTTTGGGAAGTGGAGCATTGTGCTGGTGGCACTTTTAAAAGAGTTTTTCCCAGGTAGATGTCTCAGCAGGGACGAGCAGAGGCCACTGGCAGCCAAGAGCAGAGGGCAAGGATTTGATTCTCAGTTCTTGGCAGTGGGACTTATCCCAGGTCCAACAACTCAGTTACTGTGCACACCGCTGTAGTAAGTGATGAAGTTTTTTAATTTAAGCATTTTTAATAATACCCTCATCCTGGTAAAATTAGGGAAAGTTTTTTGGCTCAAATGTTTTGCTTAGAAGCTGAGAATAGGCACGGTGTTTCACAAGGTGAACCAAACCTCTGTGCCTCTTACCTCAGAGCGTATCCTTTAAAGTGGCATTTTATTTCTTGCTCCATCTGGTTGCAAAACATCAAGGTCACTAAAGCAGAAACCCCTGTAGGTGTTTATATGGCTCAGTGCATAGGGACATTTTCCTGTCACTTTGCTGGCAGGGCCCAGTCCTGGTTGTGCTTTTCTTCTTCCCATTTGGACCACTAAGAGTATTTATCAGTCCTATTCGTGTCTTGTGGGTGACCTGGCTTAAGAACCCTAAATTTGTTTTTCTTCTTAGAAGTTCAGCACCTTCTTTTAAGCCTTGCTTGTGAATCCCTCTGGAAACGTGCAAAACCCAAATGTGCCTCGGTTCCCTCCCACCACACGTGTTCTCCAACTGCTGCAGCCGATGTAGGACAAAAAGATGTGGAGCTGGTTATATTTTTCCCAGGCAGTTGTTTCCCTCTGTGTCTATTTTGGTATGAATTGGCCTTAACCATTCCAGGGATGCTGTTCTGCAGCTCTCACCTGCTTCTGCAGCCCTTGCAAGGACGACGGGGCTCTGGCTGATGTTATCTCTAGGCTGGGGCAGGTTCTTGGGGTGATGCTGCAGCAGAGGGGCAGTTATTTAACCATTCCCTCCATGATGGTTCCCATGTGGAGTAGGGAACCAGTTACCTGGGGCAGATTTGATCATGTGCTGCTTCCTCCGAGCAGCCGGCAGGCACCATGTCGCTTGTAGACAGTGTCTGACAGCTTCCCCAGGGATGATGAGCTTTACTGCATCTGCTGCAAGTGTTGCTCTGAGCTGAGGCTCTTCCTTCTCACCAGGGCTCGATGCCATGCCTGGATCCTTTGTTATGTGTAACCTTAATTTTGTTTCTCTGAACGTTGCCAGGATTTCCTCCTCCCCGGGACATTTAAATGGGGTGCAGAGCAATTAGAGTCACTTTTCTCTGCATGTGTAACAGCAGGGCGCTTCCATATCAGTTTGGGAATCGACCCAGGGGTTTGATGTGGGTTGCTAAATTCAGGCCTGTGGGATGAGCATGCCCACAGCAAAGTGGGTATGAAGATGTGGAGATAAGAGCTGTGCCTCTGCCAAGCTCCTGTCTACTCTCTTTCAGTCCTGTACTGACTCTGGTTGCTGCAGTGGGAGCCACCAAGACCAGGGACCACCAGAGCCTGCCTGTGGCACCTGGGTCAAAGTGGCAGCAGAGACCAGAGCCAGGCAAGGGACCATCACCCACAGGTATTGTATGTCACAGTATAACTCAAAGGGAAGGCATCTACAGCTTTATCCTGGATTCTGCAGCAGCCCAGCTATTTCATCCTTCCTTTTCTGCCTCATGGGACTTTTAGCTCTTGCCTGGTGCATCCGCTCTGGAGAGCATATGGACATGTCTGTCCTGGGATCGGCGTGTGCCAGCACACAGTCTGCACGTAATCCTGCTGCATCCATAACAGCATTTATTGCTTATGTCAGCACAGCCATCCCTCAGCGCTGCCAGGGGTAACCCTTTGAGGTAACAAGTGATAAGTTCCTTCTAGCTGTCTTATTAAAAAAAGAATTAAAAAAAAAAAAAAGAAGAAGGAGGTGCTGGAACATTTTCACGGATGCTGCCAGCTTTTAACTGTGGGTTACCTTGGTGAAGGCATATTACAGAGACTTTTCTTTTAAGAACAGCTTAAAAGTGTCTGTTTGGCAGTGCATGCTTTGTGCTGGTATGTGTGAAGCTGCAAGAAAACCCCCAATCCAGAGCGTGAGGCAGAGGAGTTGCCCACTTGCTCCTCTCTGCAGCACCAAACTGCAGTTTAACCTGTTGCTTTTCTCACCTCTTTCCTGCTCTTAAGAGACACCCTCTAAAGTTGGGATAACCTCCCCAAAGCTCCCTTCTCAGGCTCCCCACAGAGGGAAGTTCATCCTCCTCCTCCACACTGCAGCCCTTGAGCTGTTGCAATAAGCCCTTGAGGTGCTCTCTCAGAACCCATACCGGTCTCTTCCCCCCGGTGAGGCTGAAGATTCTGTGCAAAACAGAACAAGCAAGAGGCCAAGTCATGGGGAGTTTTCACTTGTCTCAGCCTAAACACCAGCCTCCTCCAGGCTTTCAGTCTTCCAAGAGCTTCCCATCTTTCTAGCCAAGTGGTTTGTTTGCTAGAAGAAGAAAAATTGGGAGTTTTGTGCTACCAGTAGCTGGAGTCCTCTTTCACTAGTGAAGGCATTTTCTCCTTTGAATTTTGTTTGAATGCAGAAACTATTGTGAAATGAGAGCTGTAATACTGGGAAAGGGGAGATCAGAGCATTCCTCTGGATAGGGTTTGATGCAATTTGAAGCTGCTTGTGGAAGATTGGCTGGAAGGTAAACTGATTTGGGCTAAAAAAGCTGGTGCTGTTAAACCGTATCAGTGACTCTTTAGTGGATGGTCCAAAATAGCTTTTTTATGGCCTGTGACCTCTAGGAAAGATAACTGGATTTTTGATCTTAGATTGAAGGGGCAATTTCTGCTGAAAGAAACTTGTGTTCTTTAGAAACCATCTCAGGCTGGCATTTACTGTCAAAAACATTGCATGGAAACAGACAGAAAACAAACCAAAAATCACACATGTGAGTCAAGCCCAGGCGAGCCTTGCACTGTCCCTGAATCCGGGATAGATCCCGGCTGTCATCCACTTTTCTGCCTTCGTGGCCACCAAAATTTCCCGTAGACACCTGCGTGGGTGTGATTAGACAGGAGCTCCTGTTTTTGCAGCATCCTGCTTTGCACCTGGACTTGATCCATTGACTGCAGAGGTGTTGTGCCCCCCAAGGAAAAGCGGTCCCCTCCGATGTTCCTGTGTTGTGTCGGAGCCGCGGCGCCCGTGCCAGGTGGGAGACGCCGAGGTGGGTGTTGAGTTGGTTTTCAGAGCAGTGCTTGGTCACCAGCTGTTGTCTAGGATGCTGTGGCTTTTGGTACAGCTGGATAAAAAAAAAAAGCTTTCTCGTTGAATTTCAAGTCAGGGGCCTGTTTTCTGCCAAGCTACCCCCCGCCGTTTCAAATGTATTTTATTCTCCTTTTCTTTGCACTGGTCCCGTTACGCTCCGCTCAACAGCTGCTGCATTTAATCCCAGAAGCTGCAATTGGTAGGGAGCAAAGTGATCTCCATATAACCTCTCTCTTACTCATAAGTGTGCATTATGAAGCTTAACCGATGGTAATAAAATGTTTTGCTTTCAACATGCCGTCCCTGTGGTCCAATGTTCCCGTCTTCAGGCTCCGTCATTACAGCCGGGCGATGTATCGGAGCTGTTCTGCTGCTCCCCACGAACCTGCCTGGTAATGCTGGACACGGGCATCTTGGATGCATGTGGATACCCAGCAAGGAGAGATGGAGAACGTGGCGTGGATAGCAAGCTGGCAGTGTTGGCATTCCCAGGTGGAAGCAGCTCTTTGAGGAAGACTCTATCTTGGCAGTCAAGGAAAAAGACGCTCGGGGTCTTGCTTGGCTGCGGCCCAAAGTGCAGGTTCCCATCTCTGTGAGATAGTCTGGCAGTGCAATCTGCTGTTAGAGCCTCTTCAGGGACTACGGCAGGACGTGGGGGAGCAGGAACAGATTGCAATCCTGCTACTTGGTTGGGGTTTTTTCACCCCTTTCACAACAACTCTGCAGGTTCATGTTTGTTTTTTTGGTGTTTTTTTTTTATTTCCTGCATACGAAAAAAAGGGCATTTTCATGTCATCCTGCATGATGGTGGGGAAAAAAGATGCTCCTCGCCCATGTTTAAGTAACCATACAAAATGCAGCAATTCTGCTTTAGGAATTTCATTTTTGTTTACACACCATTGATGCTTTCATTAACAGCATCTTTTCACGTATAAGTACTTGAGAGGTCGTACGATTTTCCTGCTCTAAAATGAAAACAGGGTTTTCCAAGCAGGGATCTCCAAGCATCATTTCTGTGGTATGGTGGGTTGCATCAGCCCCACAGCTGGCTTCTGTTGGACAGGATGTGGGTTTTCCATATTTAAGGTTTATAGCATTTGGATTCAAAGCGGAATTTCCCAGGCAGAGCCCCCCCCGGAAGGTATCAGAATATATGGCTTTGTCAGGCGGCGATAACAGCCTTTTTCTGGAGATTGCCATTTTGTAAATAAGCTTCTTCTCGAGCAGCACGGCTCCAGCTACAAAAGATGGATGATTATTACTTCCTGGAATCGGCCTTCCGCTGCAGGATCTGGTTTTTATTGTGATAATTAGCATAGAATTAAAAATGGCCCTGCGTCTCCAGTTCGCCCTGTAGTTCCTCTGGTACAGAGCGATCCGGGATGGCGTTTTCTTTGGGAATAGGCTGTGCCTGGGAATCACTTCATTCGCTGCTGCAAATCAGTGCAGGGGTATCTGCAGGCTTCGGCGCAGCAAAAGCCTCCGCCTCCAGAAATAAATCATTGCTCCTAATAAACTTTCAAATGAGTTGTTTGTTGGAGGCTGGAAAAGTTGCCAAGGATATTTAGACAAAAATCCAAAGCGGGATTTTACAAATGCCTTTAAATTCCAGAGCTCGGGTTGGAGGTGAGGTCACGGGCAAGCAGGCAGCTTTTTCTCCTGAAAAACTGTAGTAGCTTTTCTTCTTAAAAATTTAACAGGGTTGTCACTCCAGGCAGAGGCAGAATTGTAAGGAGTGTCAGACATGGCCACTGGTGTGTCCATAGGAGAAAACTAAAGCAGCGAAAGCGTGTAAACTTCCTTGTGAGAGCGGTGCAGGAAATTACTGTGCAATTGGACGCGGTGTCCTAGCGTTAGATTTATTAGCCACTTCCAAATCATCTGCCAAAAATCCTTTCAATCGGAAGACAGGAAAGAACATGTTATAAAAAGACCTGGAAAAGGAGTGATTTTGGCACGGGAGTTTCCAGGCTGGTAATTGTCCATGTGTACAGTGTTTGGGTTTGGTCTCAGCGTTGAGGTCAGTGGTACTTAAACCAAATGCTGTCCCAGTGCCTGCGTATGGCAAATGGTGAAATGTCTGGCAGGATCGTGGGCACATCCACGCTCTTGTGTACGTTCCCCAGACCTTGCTGCTTTGGCAACAAGACTGGATATATCATTCCAGCAGTTTCTTGTCTGGATGGTGGGCTGAGATGGTCACGTTTCCCCACTGCACACCTCGCTGCCCTCCTCACTGTGGGGCACTGCCAATCTCACACTGCACTTCTCCAGCTCCCATGCCTTTTCCAGGCTGCTTTCTTTCCACTTGTATGCCTGCAAAGTTGGAGTTACTTCCATATCCTCTGTATGCAAGACCCTGCTTTTTGCTTGTTTAAATCCAACTCTTTCTGGCGGTAGTGGAAATAAGTGACCTGGCTTTGTAGCTCTCTTTTAATGTTCCCTGCTTCTGGAAAACCATCTCCCTAGTGCTTGGTCTCTGATGAGGAACACATCTGCAACTATACCTGCAGCATCCCCAACATATCCTGCCAGCTCCAGCAAGTCGATATATTTGACTTAAAAAGAGCTTTCTCCATAAAAATGATCCATACCTGCCTCAGATGCACCAGATGTTGCCTTGTACAACCCTTTGGAGATTTGGCAGCAAGGCATGTGGGGCCTGGGGAGCCACTTTGCTATGCTGTGACCTTTTTTTTTGGGGTGCCTGCTGGAATGTAGTGAGAACTGAAGATCTGGTTTCCCCCTTTCCATGTGGCACTTTTGGGAGAAAACACCCTGTTTTCACAGGCGCTGAGCTCCCAAGGTAAGGGGATGGGAGAGCACTGCTGGAGCATGTCCCAGCGTGCAAGGAGCTGCTTCCAGCCCAGGGTGAGGACTGGGACCAGCACAGTCCTTAGCAGGGAGATTTCCTACCTCCTGTTTCCAGCAAGCAGAGCTGATGCTTTTCCAGCATGAGTGTAAAGGTAGGATTGGGTTTGTGGCTCACAAAAAAGCAGATGCCAGCAGCTGGAACAGGCAAGGGAAGTGTGTGTTTAAAGAGAGAAAGGAGAAGTGTCTGTCATCCATTGGGATGAATCCTCCTTTTCCAGCCTCTTTCCGGGAGCGTGCTGATCCAAAGTCCTTCTCTGGAGCGTTTTCCTTCACGAAAATGAAGCCGGGCCGTTGGTAACGTCAGTGTTTCCCAGACCGCCTTCATCGTCTTGTTCTTGCATTCGTTGTCCTTCGACTGGTAGGGTGGTTATGAGAAAAAAAGCCAGCTTAAAGCATGGTCAGAAAGCTACAATTAACGAAGCAAACCACAAATAAATAAGTAAAATAGGCTAAACTGTAAGATAGGTGTAAAAGGAGGCAGTCTGCCGCGCGGCTCCTCTGTAAACGTGCATGATAAGCATCGGCGAAGCTTGTTGCAGACACTGGGCAGGGCTGCTTTTGCTAGACTTTTGAGTATCCTAGTTGCAAAGACTCGTAAGTGTTCCAAAAGGCTCGTGGTTTTGGAGTGGGGTCTGTCTTTTCTGTTTTCCGTGCGCTGTGACCACTTGCTTTCCGAATGGGTTTGTATAGTGGTGGAGTTAATGGAGCTGTTCTTTATAGTAACCTAAAAGGTGTCAGTCGTTTGCTCGTGTGTGTTCACAGGCTGAGCCGTGGCGTTACGCATCCCTCCGCAATGGTGTGATTTGAAGCACTTTTGGTGTGGCATGTGCAGTTGCAGTGCTGTCTGTTTTTAATTTCCCCTCCCAATTATCCCTCCCCCCTCCGTGTTCTCCCCGTGTTTCGGACACTGAACCAAACCGACGTCGGAACTAGCACTTTAAGTACTAGTAGTCACTTTGCTTCGGACTATATTGAGCACTGCACTTTTGTATGTACTGTTAGCACTGAGTTCTGAACTCCTTTCTTTTCCCCACCTCTTTTCCCTCTTAGGCGCAGTGTTAATTACGTAGGGGCCATCAGAAGATAATTTTGAGGTGTGTTGGACCGCTGTCCGGTGCCTGACTTCCATTACGTATCCATTAGCGACTTTACAGTAGGGAATTTAACCCATCCAGGCTTATTTTACACAACAGAACAGACACCTATGTCACTGACGTCCAGGCAGACGTGGTTGCTCTAAACTTCGAGGTCCTCCGAGGAGACCCGAGCGCATGGCTTTTGAAAACACCAAAGATACAGGAGAAGTCTCAGAAGGGATCGGGATGGGATTGGAATTGAGCAGAGCGAGAGGCGTAGGGCAGACGCTCTTGTGTTCGGTACGAGACCCCAGTGAGCCCATGGGACAGCCCAGTTCAAACCAGTCTGGGACTCTGGTACCAGTAAAGACTGCGCTCAAGCCATTGCAATAAAAGCCATCATTGTGCCTGCACTGAAAGTGCCGTTGGAATTGGTCGTTGTCTTCAACTGCAAAAAGGTATTTTTAAGTAAAAAAAGACTGAGAGATGATTTAGAAGATGGAACATAATAACCCTGGGGTTTGCTGTTGTTAGGAGTTAATCGGCTCTCGTGTTCAGAGGCAGTTTGGATGTGCATTGCTATTCCTGTTAAATTCCTGTGATATTTCCGTAAGGGAGGCTGGGGATCAGAAGCTCCCTTGCCAGCAAATCAGTAGGGTAGAGTTTGTAGCAAACGTAGTCAGAAATCTCTAGGATTTGAAATGGGCTGGCGATCCCTGGGATGCTGAATAATCCGAATTTTGATGCCCCAAACTATCCACTCTCAACCAGCTGGGGGTGTTTTGCCTCTTTAAAAGCCCTCATAGGTTTTCACAGCAGCAAATAAATCACAATGGGTGTGGGAGTGCTACATCTCCTCCACACCAGGGTATCCACACTTGGGACTTGCTGCTCATCCTCCTTGACGAGCCCATAGTCAATCCAAATCCTTCTCTGGCAATCCTCCTTGATGGGAGTTTCTCCCTAGTGAAACTTAATGGATAAACCCCACCATTACAGCACGATCCGTTTGAATGGAGAGAAGGGAATTAGGTCTTCTCCTTCACTGCTAGCAAGGGGCCGTGATGGAAATAACCTTCAGCAACAAAAAGGAATAAGTGTGTTGGGTTTCCTTGTTGCAGCAGATGAAGGATTTTTCCTAAACAACTCCAGTTTTAGTGGCTGGTTTTCTTGGGTTCCTTCTTCAATACACCTTCAGGGGTTTGGATATTCAGCAGGAACTGATGGTGGTTTAAAACCACAAATCTTGAGCAACCCCAAGTATTATGCTCTTGCATCCTCTGTCATTGGACTTAAAAATGGAATCCAGATTTTGGTTTTTTTTCTTTCTCACTCCAGCCAAATTATCCCTGCAAATGTAGCTTTAAACAAATAGCAGCAGGCAATGCTGCTGCTCTATCTGAGCCCCCAAAATTAGAGAGCTGAGGGGACAACCTCTTCCAAAAGTACCTCAGTGACTCAGAGCCCACAACCACTCGCTGTCATGAGGATGCAGGCAAACCCTTTGGAAAATTCACCCCTCAGCGAGCCCACCAGTCTCCTTCAGTCCTTGGAAATTAAGCTCGGGAGACAGGGGAATGTGGAACAGGTCTTTTTGTCTTTATTTTCCCTCTCAGGTGTAGTTTTTTTGCCCCTTGGAGTTGGCATCTCATCCTTTGGGAAGGTAGAATTAAGCATGGCACACCTGAGGCCCGAATGCAAATCCTAGCACAGCACCTCTCGCTTTGGAAGGGCCTTTTAGGTGGGAAAAAAAAAGCTCTTGTAGGGATTTTTAGCTGTTTGGGTTTTCAGATAGCTCGTGGGAAACGCATTGGGACAGCACACAGGCGATGTTTTACTGACTTTTTCTGTTCCTCCAAGAGAGACTTCTTAATTTGCTTTGGTAGTTTAGAGTTTGTTTCCTTGAAAGTCTTTTTGGACCCATGAAAATGCCCTTGAAATGAGTCAAGTTTATCAAAATATATTATGCACACACCCGTGCACCAGCCCACGTGTACGTGCATGTCTCCCTGGGTGTGTATACAGATAGAGAAATATATTATTTCCCAAAACATTCCTTTTTTCTTTTTTTTTTGGTTGGTTTGGTTATTTTATTTGGGTTTGTTTCCCCTCCACCCCCCAAGGATATTAACCAAAAGGTGTTTTAAAAGTCATGGCATGAAAACTCCTAAATGTAAATCTGAGTACCTTGTGATGCTAATTAACAGGTTTTTCCTGAAACTTTATGTGATGCTTAATATTTTCCTTAGGAAGTTTTGTTTAATGTTAGATCATTGTTCTGGAGGATGTTGGTCCTACTGGCATTAAACTAATGGAAATAAAATGCATGTGTTACAAGTGTAGAAACGGTGAAGAATTAAGTGTGAACTTACTGTACGATACTGATTCTGTTTTCAAACAATCTGTTTTGCTGTTCAGTAGTTGACATATGGAAATGCCAATGTACTGTAATTTAGCACTTTTCCAATGGACCCTGTTCTCACTACGCCCGAGGGAAGGAGCGGGTTTGGCTCGGGGCTGTCTGAGCTCAGCCCCTGAACCCTTTCTGTGTGTTTCGGCACCAGAACCGGCCGGGTGGAACTTCAGCTGGAGGTTTTCTCATCGGTTCAGCGGCTGGCACGAGGCAGAGGGGGGTGGTTCTCCACTTCCATGGCCAAACCAGAACCATTTTGCAACTCGATCTGGTGAAAGGCGTCCCTGCCCGTGGCAGGGGTGTTGGAACTAGACGATCTTTAAGGTCCCTTCCAGCGCAAACCATCCTGGGATTCTGGGATTCTCTGATTTGGGTGCAGACCTCGCTGTGGGTGGATGGACTGGTGGCATCACATTCCACCAGTGCATCCCTCCGGGAGCCAGGCTGGGGCCAGGCTGTCCGAGCTGAGGCGGGACGGACACAGCCCCTGAAATTCAAAGGCAGAAGGGATAACCACCAGCCACCCCCCTCCAGCCCAAACCCCTCCTTTCCTAGTGTTAACAGGGTGCAAAGTGTTACTTGTCATGTACTGTACTGAAAGGGTTAATTGATCAGTGACTGTATTGTACTGTATGAAAACTCATTAATTGCCTTGTATTGTTTCTAATGGACTGTTCCATGTCTCCCCACTGCCCATTCCCAACCCGCCCCCACGAAAGGACGCATGTTCTCAGTTAGGTCCTCCAAACTCTCTGGTGCTAAACTCTTCCGTATCCGATGGTGCTTCTGCGGACACTAACTGACCACATGCTGATCCGGAGCTTGAAGTTCACCACGTCTTTCTTGTCTGTTTGTATGAAGTCACACACACACACACACATGAGAAAAATTAAGGATAAACTTGAATTTGTTTCAAAGCCTCATTGACAATCTAATGTTTTCTATGTCTGCTTTTATTTGGGATGGCTTTTCTAGAAAGCAGCCCGCCAGCACCTTCGCTCCAGGAGGGGATTTCGTCCTGTTCACTCCTCTGGCATCCGAGGTGAGCTGCTCCCTCGCTGGCTTTGCAGGTTGATCCATCAGGAGCCAGCGAGGAAGAGGAGGTGCAGGTGCCTTCAAAGATCTCTAACCCGAAAAAGCAGCTGGGATCCCCGGGACTGCCCCATCCGCATGTAGGTAGGTAGGCACTGAGGGTCTCAGAAGGGATGAACCCCCCATCCCTTGCTTCGTGGCAAAAATTGGCTTTTAAGGAGAATGGAGGCAGAAAATTGGAGTCCCAAAGGCACCTCCATCTCCTCTTGGCATCACTCATCTCTGCTGGCCTCCTGAGCCTGAGGTTTTGCAGGTGACACTCACCTCGGATGACGTGAACGGGGCCATCCCCTCCCAACCCCCCCACCCCAACGCGAGCTGCTTTTTGGACAAAAGAAAATCTGACTATATTTTATATCGATTTGAAAACAAAGTCTGATATTTACCCTCGTTCTCAACTGAATTTGCATATTGTTGTTTGCCACGATATTTGTTCTGTCTTCAAATAAATTTGCTTACTTGTGTAGTCTTAACTGTCTGCTCGGATTCTTACACTCGGATTTATCCCCGCTCCGAGGTGCCTGCACTGTGGCTCTCCTTTGGATGCCTCCCATGGAGGAGAGAAGGAAATCTGCCCGGGAGGAGGAATCATTTCAGGCTGTAAATGTTTCTCTCTCCGTTATCTCCCATTCATCTCCCTGGGGCTTTTCAATTTGATGCCCTTTTTTCCCCCTGCTCTTCCATCATCAGATCCTTCTATCCGGGTGAGTGCGTGGCTTCAGCCTGCTTAATTTAAGAGATTGAATTTTTCTGTGGGTGAGGCATTTCCGACGGCAGCGTTTTGCATCTGGGAATGAAGGGATTTATGGCTGCGAGCGGCTGAAAGCTCTGGGCATCGGCGTCGGCATCCAGCGCCGGCTCTTCCTGCACATTGCATTAGCGAGGAGTTGGCATCAGTCACCGGAGACGTCTCGGCGGAAGGCAGTGCCCTCAAACGGCTGGAAAACTGATTTGCACATGCGTTTCCAGGGAAGTAATCAAATCAGCCAGCAGGTTCAATAAAAGGAATAAACAAATATTCCAGGTTTACCCGCGTTTGCGATTGAAACCTGTTGCAAGACTCGCAGGTTTTGAGGTTCCTCCCCCTCCCTGCAAAAAAAGCTATTTTGAGAGTAAAATTGTTGCAGGCTGCTGCAGGAGGACATTTTATATTCCCTAAAAACATAGCTGTATCTGTATTTCAGGGGGATCCATGAGAGGGCTTGTGCTGTCACCCTCCTTCCTTTCGGAAACCATCCCTGGTGCATGTGCTAGGGCCACAGAGTCCATTTGTCCCCCTTCTTCTGGCACTGTCCCCCCTCTTTCCCTCTATCATCCCCTCTGACCTCTCTCCAGCTTTTTTTCCCAGTTTATCAAGGTTTTGTAGATGTTTCCGGCTGCTCCTCGCAGTACAAGCAGCACTGCCCGTGGTGATGGACGCCAGCACGGGAAGGAGGACAGAGATGAATCCTGTGGCAAGATGCTGGGAACAAGAAGCCAGACTTCATGGAGGGACCTGCCAGGTATGTCTGCCTCCCATCCTCAGCCAAAATGTGGTGTCTGCACCCTAGAACATGTTTTAGGGATCCCCATCCTTGTGACCCTGGGTACCCCTGCACACTCCCAGGGGGTCAGGTGCCCTTTTGGGGCCACCCAGAGCAGCTCCCCCTGGATTTGTGCACCCTCAACTGCTGGCAGAAGGAAGAACTTTACTGATTTATTTTATTTATTCGCTGTAGGGTGGGGTTTTTTTTCCTCTCTAAAACACAGGAGTACCCTTAGGAATCCAGCATTCTTTGGGAAGCAGGGGATAAGCCTGGGCAATGGTGGTGACTGTGGGTAATTATTTTCTGATTTTGTTTCTCTTGCATTTTGTATCACACCCTAAAAGACCAAGTTGCAGCGGAAAAATCACAAAAATAAGAAAGCAAGGTAGCCTATGAGGAGTTTAACGTTAACACAGCCAGCATTTATTTATTTTTTCGTGGCCTTTTATGCCATTTTCACCAGCGTTGCCTTTTTAGAAGGTTCTAGCACAGAAATGGTGAGATTTTAGAGGAGGTGGTGGAAAATCCACACACTAAAAGCTGGGCCTGGGGACTGTTGCAGGGGAGATCTCTGAGAAAATTATCCCAAAAGAAGAGAGAAAACCAGCCCAGCACCACAAGCAAATCCCATTTCTGGGCATGGAGGTGGGGGTCTGGTGCAGCCCAAAATTCAGAGGTCAGAGCCAGTGGCTCAGGAAGCTGTAGGGGTGGGAAGATTTATTGTCCACTGCCATGCTGGAGGATTCTCCTTATCCCAGGACCACTCTCTGCTGCAGTGTCACAAACATGGGCAATATGGTTAAGAATAATCTTCTGGAAACAAATCAGCAAATTAAACGTCCAGGGGCGTGTGGATGATTCCTGGCAGTTGTCTTTCCTGGGAGCTGGAATGGCAAATGCTGGGCATGTAGAAGAGTAGCTACGAAATTATATTTTATATATATATATATATATATGCTCCTTTTTACTTTGCTAAGTGTATTTTTAGTTGGGAAGTTCACTTCAGGGATGTGATGTTTTGAATCACCTCAGGGTCCACAAGTCCCGCTGCATTATGCAGCAGGGGTTAAGGAAACTGGGACTGGCATCGGCGTTCCCAGTAGAGGAACAACCTGAGTCAGTCCTCAGCAAACCTCAGCTTTTCCATCTGACATGAAAAAAACATGCCACGTGGACTTGATTTATCTTATTCTGCTAAAAATCCCAGAAAAGTTTCCCACCAGTGATCCCCTAAAATCCCAGTCCTTGACTTGGAACAGTCACACAGTGCTCCAGACTGTGACAGTGAATTATTATATCATTATCACGATATTACTATTCCATTTTCGTACAGAGGAGACAGTAAAGCAAGTGAAAAATTGGAGAAGATAAATGAAAAGCAGTGAGTAGAAATTTGTGCAGGTCAGTCACAATTTAGGGCTGAGGGCGAGATGGATCGAGTACCAGACTGTAAGCAAACATATTAATCTTTATTGCTTATATTCGTTAATCACGTACTGCATTTGGTACATCATGGTATGCGTGCCCAAGAGTGTGTCACAGGAATATAGTGAAGGGAATTAGTAACACACTTAATGAAAGGGATTTTCATACATTCCCAGAGTGAACAACTGCCCTGCTGGCAGCGCTTGGCTCTCGACACCCACAGCGAACGCAGAAGCTTGTGATTTTATTTATCCTTTTTCCTTAGAGCGGAGCGTTTTATCCATTTTTCCTTGGAACGG